ATAAATTTTGATTTTTTAGAGAGAGAGAGAGAGAGAGAGAGAGAGAGAGAAAGATTATTCTCTTAAGAAATGTAAGTATTTACTAAACAAATCACACAAAAACAGTATATACTGTGTATTGACTTTTTATATATAATATACCGTTGAGTGTAATAAATAATGGTTGAGACAAATGGCAGTGACTTTTCTTTGAATTGTCTTAAACCATATGTGCTATATATAGCGTACAATGGTATTTACAAAATCACCTGATTGCTACTATATCTACTGTTTATATTTTAGTTACATAGTTAAATAATTTTAATTTATAATACCTAAATACAATTACTTTATTTTAAAATGTGTATTATAACAAGACTAGATTGTAGTTTTTAAACCACGTGTGAATACAGTGTTTTGCCAGATATAAGGTATATAAAACAAAAAGTTTTACCCAAAATAAACACCTCGTTTATCATAGTTAGCCAGCAATCAGTGGTGTTGTGACAAAACACACGGTGTGTTTTTTATGATACACTTTTTATTTGGTTGAATCTTTCAAACAACATATAGAACTAAATAAATTTTGATTTTTTAGAGAGAGAGAGAGAGAGAGAGAGAGCAAAAATAGGCTCTGTCTCTGTTCTGGCCAATAATAACTTACCAATCTACCATATTTATAGATGTAAAATAGTTAACTTAATAATTACAGTTTAAATGCAAGTTCATAAAATACTAATGAGAATAAAAATCAAATTATTTAAACTATGGGAGATGACTGATAATGACAAATGAACTAAACTTAATAAATTAATATTTTTATTTTATTTACCATTAAAATATTAAATAATAATTTATAGAAATATGAGAGAGAGAGAGAGAGAGAGAGAGAGAGAGAAGCCTAATTTATGACTATAATTTACAACTTTATTTTACGCAAAAATCTAATAATTATATAATATTAAATTTTTTAAATATTATTAACGGTATATTTATTTGATGGTTTAATTTATTACTTCATTGACGAGATAAATGTGTTATAATTTATTAGCAAAATATTATATTTTGTATTAAATATTATTTTAAAAAATAAAATATTTACTGCATTTAATATTTTATTTTATTAGTAATGATACTTATATTTATTGAAAAATAATTTTATTAAACTTATGCACATCAAAACTACCATATTCTTAATAGACGCATTCATATCTAGAATATAACAAAATATTAATAATTTGCAAAAATTTGTAAATATAAAAATTTTAATCATCATCAAATAAATCAATCATTAAATACATATTAATAAATTCATTAAATCCATACAAAAAACTAGCATGTATAGCAAAACAACTAATTATAAAGTTATATAATTACATTGTTAACACAACGCACGGCACACCCTGTAGGTGAGGGACTGGTATTTGGTGTGCATTAACGCCACGTGCCTTAAAAACACAGGCCATTGACCAAACTGTTTGCCACATACGGGGTGTGCGCACAGATACGGCACCTTAAGTCCCAACCGCCTGAGCCTATTGTGACCGTATTTGGTGATCAATTTATGTAGAAACGCATAGATTTTGCTGCTTTTGCACCGACAATAGACCACGTGGTGTGTTGGACAAATATACCATGGTGATTTATGCCCGGTATTGTTGTCCAGGCAATTGCCATACTCATCAACTTTGTTTGTATTGGTGCTGATTGCGATGGTTTCGGCGCTAACTTTACATGGTTGTATTAAACCATGTTTAATATTGTTGTCAGGGTGTTCTTTCCGCCGCTTATTCCTTGGAAGTTTCCGGTAATTTCTGGCCAAACGGTCACTTTTAGTGCACAACCGGTCGTTCAATTCACGTAATTTTTCAAGCGTTTTGATGTTTGAACGCAGATTTTGTTGAATTAATTTCACTGATAAATACATTTTTGCTATTTATAAACAACACTCACAACAATACAAATGAAAAACAACAACATTAAAAACAGTTGGCGCTAAAAGGATTATGATAATGTTCAATGCCATATGTTTATTTGTTTATTGCACTTGTTTGTATTATGTTTTGCTTAAGATCTTGTTAAACTGTGTTGTGTTTTGACTCGTAATTTATGTTTGATAAATAAATAAGGTTTATAGTATAATTTGTCTTGTATTTAACAACATTACAATTAAGTAAACTATGAATTTACAAATTAATTTATTAACTATACACCATGATTAAATATTGTTGATAAAATAATAAGATTACACTGAAATAAAGCATTATTATTTTAGTATAAAAAATTGATTTTACAAACTGTAATTACTAACATAAAGGTATATAATGGTTATTAATATAATAATCAATTAATATGCTTGGTGAATCAACTTTAGTGATTTTAATTTTAAAAAATACACATTTTAAACATTTAATATTAACACACATTTGCTATTATTAATAAAGCAAATATATTTTAAAATTAATTTTTTATTTAGTATGTAACCAGTTGAGCCGGGGCATATTTACATTGGTATCGCCGATGACCGGGCCATCCTATGAAACATTGGTGTCGTATTCAAACACATTTCAGGTAACATTGTTTTTATAATATGCATTCATATTAAGCACCATGATATAATAACAATAAATATTTTAATTAACCCTATTCATACTTGTAGATGCCATTTATACACCCGGGCTTTTCACAGACTTCCCATTTTCGACCGGCAACTTATGGTATATCTCTACGGCCCCGATATCTGCCGGCTATAATCGATGTCATACTGTATTATGGTTGGAAAGGCATTATTTACTTGTACGATACCGATGATGGTAAGTTTAATTGAAAATGTTACTATTGTCAAATGTCAATAGGTTTAAAAATTGAGGTATTTTTAAATTGTCACTTAAAAGTCTACTGTATTTGGTGTGAAAATAAAAAAGTTTAAAAAAAATATAATAATAACTAAAGACTTGAAAAATATATAAATGGGAGACAAAAATGCCGTCAGTCGTTGTCAACGACAGAATTTTGCCGTAGAATTAATGTCTTTACAGAATATTCTTTGGAAATACTCTTAGAGTTTAGGCTTTTCCTTCCCGTCTCTCTCTCTCTCTCTCTCTCTCTCTCTCTCTCTCTCNTGGTGAATCAACTTTAGTGATTTTAATTTTAAAAAATACACATTTTAAACATTTAATATTAACACACATTTGCTATTATTAATAAAGCAAATATATTTTAAAATTAATTTTTTATTTAGTATGTAACCAGTTGAGCCATAAAACAACGAGTTATATTCATATCTCATATTTAATACATAACTCATCCATCAAAATGTTGATAACATAGATATGTATATAAAAGCACAAAACAAAAGTAATTGATATCAAGAGTGGGAGCGAGAGTTAAATGGAAATCATAATCGTCTGAGCGAACTATGTATAAAAAATATCATGTAATATATTATAAATATAAGCATGGTATTTGTTACGTTAAATACATTGTACTTTATAATAATATATAAATGTGTTTTTAAGATAATACGTTTGAGTTTAATATAAGAAATAAATTATATTGCAATATATTTTTTGGAAGTAGTATCAAAAACATTAACAAAAAGGTCATAAATGTTCATAAATGCAAATTATTGTGTGCTTAAACATAAAAACATATTTCCGACTTGTTAAAATAATAAGTTTTTATATAATATTTGACGTAAAACATGGTATATAAAATATATTATTATAAATATTTTAGGAAATATAACATTAATAATAAGAAAATATATTATTATTATTTTAGCGGTAAATGAGGCAAAAAATATACAAATATTTATTATGAGTATTATTTAGTGAGTAATATATAAATTAACTATGGTTGATGTAAAGTAAAATTAATTTTGTTGTATTAAATAATTTGCCCAGGCAATATAATAATTATATTTATTTACAATATATATTTTATTTAACAATAAATATTTAACATGATTAAAATATGAATATTAATAATTAGAAAAATTTAACCATCAATACAGTTTTAGTTTATTTTAAATTTTATAAATAAGTGGTTTGTTATATTTTTTAATAGAAACATTTATTATCTTAATAGTCCTAAAAATTTAATTAATAATAACACCACGATTATTAATAATAATTATTTATTTATATACAATTAATACATAATAATTATTCAGCAACAGTTATCTTGTATTAACTGTTACAACAACGTTTATTATTAAAATTATCAATAATACTTTAACAATAAATTGTAAATAAAATTAAAATTTTTAATTAAATGTTTATGCTCTCATGCATTGTTTGAAAAGGAAAACCAAAAAAATATTGTAACTAACAAAAACATATAATAATTTTTATATAAATTGTTATGTTTTGCTTTCAAAACCATAAATCATGAGAAATATAACGTATCGCAACATTATATACAATGTTTAGTCGGTAGAGATATAATACAATAAATATATAGATGGTTTAGTTGAGTGGACTTTTAGGTAACCATAATAAATAATATACCATTGAGAGAGAGAGAGAGAGAGAGAGAGAGAGAGAGAGATTGGTTGGATAGATAATAGAGTTTTCTATGAGTTTTTTGTTTACTGTATTGAATTAAATGGAAAGTCCATTGAAAACCACAACAAAATATATATTTATTACCACAAAAAATATTTATAATAAATAACTTCAGGTAAATAGACTTATATTCCACTATAATCTCTAATACTTTACTTTTA